TGCGTGGGAGTAGACCATATTAGTGTCGTGTCGTGACGTATTCAAGAGGGACGTTCACTTTGTGAAACGCGATGGTCGACGTGAGTAAATTATTTTTCATTATTACTTATCATATTTATTAATTTTCATATCAAAATAGCTAATGATTAAAACTACTTTTACGGATTTGTGAATGTGGTCTCTCTTATATAGGACAAACAAAAAGATCTATTAGAACCCGCGTAAAAGAACATATAGCTGATGTAAAGCATCAACGTTCCGGGAAGTCTGCAGTTTGTGATCATATCCTAGACGGCCCCAACCATTACATCAGATTTGATAGACCACAAATCCTCCCGAAAGAACACCGATTCCTACCAAGGATGATACGTGAGGCTATTGAAATTAAAAAACATCCTAATTTCAATAGAGAATGAGGCTGGATACTACCACCTGATTGGGATCCTATAATCAATAAAATTAAAACTAAACCCAAGCATACCACTGCAAGACCCCAAGACATAGTCAGTTCATTTTGCATAGATCGGACCATAAACAATAATTAAAAAAGCTGAAGGTACTCCGGGTTTAACAATGACATCGGGACGTCAGTCATCTCAGTCCCCCGTGACCATGGGTGCTGGAAAGCGCCCGAAACGTCGGGAATTGAAAATAAAAGTAATTAAAAGCAAAAATAAACGCGATAAAATCCGTAAAAGTAGTTTTAATCATGTGTAGTGTTCGCGTAAATATAAGAAATCATTATAAAATAGCTAATGTTGATATTTACGTTCATTACTGTTAAATAATCCTAGTAAATTTATACGTTTTAACTGTCGTAACCGGCCCGCGAAATTTAAACGCACCATCGTGCGTTGTCGTTTTTAATATGTTTTCCGTTAGTTAAATGTTCATACCAATAACCTCGCATTTTTTTCTCAGAACAACCTCTAAACTACGACTTGTTACAAAACGTGCTTGTAGATAGGTGTCAATCAGACCTGGACATATCGGATAAGGAGACGGAATCGGCTGTCAATGTGCCTCGACTACTAGATGATGAAGGTGATATACCCCCAGAGATTTCACCAGGTAACCATAACAGCGACAGTGACTCATATCAAAATATGACTTTGACATAGCTCCAGTATATAAATCAGGAGAACTTTCCCCCACCTGCAAACTCTTGCCACCTCGAAATGCCTAATTTTCGTCAGACATAAAAGAGATCTAGAATCTGGAAAGCTGTTACTTTTACTGATGTCGAGCATAATTTTCGTTATCGACCGGAACCCTCTGAAACTAAAACTCCGCTGCAAAATCTTTCTACATATTTCAATGAAGATTTTTTCAAAAATAACGCACAATGAACAATTTTGTACTACCTGCGTAAAACGGGGTCAGTCGTGAGCACAACTTCTCAAGAGTTATACTTTTATTTATGCGCTGTATACCATACCCACGAATTAATATTATGTACTAGCGTACAGGTATGCACCTGGAATTAATCACTAATCAAATGCCAGAAGAACATTATTTCTTATTATGGAATAACATTCACGTAGTACCCACAGATGAACCACCTTCAGGAAATTCAAATCCGCCCGTACCGTACGGCCCGTTATCGACGCTGTTAAGAAGGCTTGCTTGTCTCTCAAAAGGATGGCAGGTGAATACTCAATCGATGAACATATTATACCTTACTCAGGGAAATGTAGTTTGCGATATCATTAGTAAAGAATAAACCGAGACCACTCGGATTAAAAAATTACATCGTTACAACAAGTGACGGGTTAATTTTAGTTCAGTTTGGTTTTATTTACTATACTACCATTTAAGTATTGATTTTTTGTTGTCTAAAATAACTTTTTATTTTGACGATAATAGTACTTAAGATAATATTTAATATGATTTTGTTTTTTTTTCGTTATATAAAAGAGAATGATTTATGTAGACTAAGCAGTAATTTCATCATATCATATCATAAACACTCACGCCTGTCACCCAGAGGGTTAGGCAGAGACTACGGACTTCCATTTGACACGATCCTGACATACCTCTTTCGCCTCCTTTACATCCATATATCTACGCATACATGCTCGTCGGTTAAGGGTACTTTTAACGTGTTCCATTTTCAAAATATCGCCAATTTGGTCGATAAACTTTTTTCTAGGGCGTCCCTTCCCGATTCTGCCGTTCACATCTGCCATATAAATTTGCTTTGTCACTCTTTCCTCATTCATTCTTTCTATGTGACCAAACCACCGAAGCATTCCTTACTTAATCCTGGTCACAACATCATCTTGCATACCACATTTATCTCTTATCACGCAATTTCTCACCCTGTCATTCAGATTCAACCCTAACATACTCCTTAAAGACCGCATTTCTACAGCATTTATTCTACTTTCGTGCTTCTTCTGCCACACCCAGCTTTCACTACCATACATTCATGTAGGGACTAACAGAGCATTATGAATTACCATACGTGCCTTTTTTGATACATTCTGGTTCTTCACAATATAGTGTAGTACTCCATTCACTCTATTCCCTGCATTTACTCATCGTTCTATTCCTTATCATGTCTACCATCCCTGCTAAATACACATCCCAAATACACAAACTCATCCACTTGCTCAATTAACTTTCCTTCTATTCTTATTTCACATACCGTTTTGCTTTTCTCTCTTTCAAAAACCAGTAAGCAGTAATTTATGTGTAAAAATACCAAAAATTCGTTGAAATTGAAGTTAATATCAAAATACTGTGTTATTAAATGTAATAATTTCTTTAATAATAATTAAATAAATATATTAGGAAATATTTTTACAGTTTTATTCCCTATGCACGATCATCGTGCGTTAGCACACTTAAAAACGAGAGCGCACGTACTTGCGGGGGGGTTACAGCGAAATTTAAAGAGGGGGCATTTTTTCTATTATTTTTTCTAAATATTTTTGCCATTGTATATCTAGAATTTAATGTAAAATTTTTGAGAATCAGGATAATTTTTTTCGTTCTGAAAGGGCTAGGATGGGATATTTTGTTTCCAGTAAAAAGGGTCCCTAGTTAGAGAACCAGAGTGTAGAGTTACTGCAAATATAAAACACTAAATTTGACTCTTCTGCGTAAAAATGTATAGTAGTACGTGATGTAATTATCTTAGTATATATATTTTATCTTTACGTATTTGTAACTGAACTCATTCTAAACGGCTGCACCGATTTTTAAGAATTTTTGTGTGTGTTTGTGTGATTCCCCGGATGATCCAGATTTACAATTTTACCCGGTAGGTGGCGTTATTGTCGAGATCCAGAAATCAACCGTGCAGAGACGTGGTGGATTGCTAGTGTAAAATATTATAAAGTTTGTTACATGTCAAGTTTATGTTATATACAGTTCTTAATTTTTCAGAATACTTATTGATAATGTGGTCCAGGGTTTAGATCCTAGGCCTCAATCAATTAGTTGGCGCCTAGTTGGCGGTTGGCCTGAATCAATCAGTTAGAGTCGGAAAGTTGGCGGTGCTCCATCCTTGGAGAGCATATAAAACTGTTTGTCCTGCACCTTGAAAGACTGGTTCGGGAACGTTTTTCGAAAATAATGGCCTCTATATCACATCAATTAGTACTTGGTACCTTCATTCGAAATTATTATTGTTCCCTGGGATTTTGTCCGAATGGAATTTATTACTTATTACATTTTTTTATTTTTCTTTAGCCCGGAACCATAATTTTGTTTCTAAAAAGCAGGCTTAGTTACTCCTTATGACATCAGTTATCTGCAAATGAAAGCCCTGTCAAAGTCGGTCCAGCTATTTCGGATATTAGCCAGAACAAACAGTAAGCTAGACAGCTACATAGACAGACGGATAGACCGACAGAAACAAAAAATAAATAAAAATTGTTTTTTTTTGTTATGAGTACTGTATATACTTTGCTTTTGTATCTTATCAAATAATTTAATTGTGTACCTTGTACATAATATGACTTTTGTTGCCCTTTTTGTTGTGCTATTTTCCTAAATGCAAACAGATTTATTTTTGGTTTTATAAGATTTTATTTAATTTTGTTATAAGTGTGTTTTTTGTATAAATAAAGTTTGTATTTTTAACAGTGTTGGTACCTGTGATTTATGTGATTAGTTAAGTTTATTCTATTCCACCTATGTCTCTGGCGTTTACTGAAAATCAGTAGTTGTAGTTACCACTGGTTTCTATAACATTTTTGCTGAGTAGATGCCTTTTTAGTACTATTCCATTAAATTGTTATATTATTTTAATTTGTGTGTATGTTTGGAACTAAATAAATTATATTATTATTATTATATACTTACGTATGCATTTATAAAAACACTGTTATTTTGACAATACAAACAGATACTTCAAATTTAGTTATTTGACGGCGCCTTTGATTATTTCGAAGATTATTTAAGAGTGAATGTCAACCGGATATGCAAAACGACATCTGTCGAATAAATCGGTTTTTATTCACTCTGACTCAACACCAAGGAAGAGTGTGGGAAAGAGGAAGGACGACGTGGCAGTTCGCATCGAGACAGTTAGCAGAGGGCATCCAAGGTATTGTCTTTGAGAGACGATCTTATTTTGTTGCACGTAATTCCGCAGACGAGAAGGCTCTTTCAGACTCTACACTCGTAGGGGGTATCGTCAGTAAATGTCTATACGCCCTGTCTAAATAAAACCCGGGGTTACCACCATTTTCAAACAATGCCATTTCAATTTGAATTAACTTATGCTTATCATTTTCACCATAACCACCATCTCTGTTAGCTTCATGTACTGTTTCATTTCTATTTCGCATATTTGTATTTTTCTCCTTCAATTGGTTTTCAATTTCTTTATTTAATTCTTTAGCAAAATCAACGCTTTTGAAATCTCTACTCACGCTACTGGCGCCATTATCCAAGGCCAAATCATCCATTACCCTAACCACAGGTTTGTCTTCGAAATTTTGAGTTAGTGAATAAATTTCCTCCACCATTTCTGGGGTTTTTGGGAACTAGGCGTTAGCAACTTCATTGAAATATGTTTCAAGATTTTGGAGATACTGCAAAGTAGATGCAATAGAAAGTCGTCTTTGGGAAATGCGCACGCGCAATGATCTTGCGAGAAGTCTTGACAGTGTAGAATTTTGACTATCTAATTTACGTAGCATAAATTTCATAGCCGCATCAGCAGTTAATAGAGTTGCATTGCGCAGGTACTGTGCTTCGACTGTCACTTTGATAATATTCAGACTTTTCTGGAAATTGTCCAAAGTATGAAACTCGCTCTGTGTGAACTTGATATCAGAGTTCATGTCAATCAGTGCTTTGGATACACATGATCTTAACCTATTGAATCTATCCACCATAGTAGAGATGCTTCCCCAACGAGTCTTACAATCGGCTAGTAGCTGGAGTTCTTTTCCCGTATTCTGTTTTACATGTTTCTGTAGAAACATGTAATTTTTCACTGGAGAATTTTTTATAAATTTTGACTACTGCACGTACTTTACTGATGACACTTTTATAGTCATTATTAAGCTCGTTTGGGTTTGACACCACCGGTATTACTTCAAATCCCCCCGGTTTCGTCTTCAGCACTATCTGCGTCGTTCTCGAATTCGGAGTCACTTTCACTTCCACCAGCAGTAACAGCAGTATCAGGGGATCGCACATTTTCAGCGCCGCCTTGCTTGTATAATACGTCAAGTACAGCTAGCTGAATACCGTGTGCAAGACAGACTTGATGATAAGAACGCAGGTTTCTTCCAACTTTTAACATGAACATGGACTTTATAACATGGCGCCATCAGTGACTATTGCGATTATAACTCTATCTAAAGAAAGCTCGAATTCTGAAAGCTTTTCTTTCAAAAGTCTGATACACGTCTCAGATGATATTGAACCATCCATTCGCACCAAACCCAGATTTTTGAAACGTGAGCCATCTGTTGATATTCATATATCTGGCGTTACGAGATGATGTCCACTCATCAAAACTCAAAGAAAACTTTTTACCAAGGGCTAATAGATTTTTCAGTTCAGTCACCAGTTTTTTCTTTTCCTGTTTACTATAGTTTATGACTATATTTTTTATACCTTTTGGAGTCTTCGGTAATATATTGTAGCCAGAATTTGTATACCGTCTTCGCAGATCCTCAGAAGTACAAAATACACTGAATGGTATTCCGTCCAAAGCTGCCATTCTACTGACGGTTGTTTCAAGGGAGTGATTACTTTGAAAATAATCAGTAAATTTCCTTTTTTTTACCATCGATGAGGACGCTGAACAAGATTCACGTTTTGATTTTGACACAGCGGTCATAATGGTTGAAGAAGCAGATGTAGATGGTCGGTTTATGCTACTGTTATTCGTTTGTTCATTGTCAGACTTTGAATTAATGTTACTAACGTCGTTTGTATGCGACGATTTTAAATGAACACGAATACCAGTTGTTGTGCTGCCGTGAGATCGTATTAGTTTTTGGCATAAATTGCATTTGCCTGACTGACCATCTTTTGCTCGGAGAAAGTAGTGCCAAACTAAGGTTTTATCATCACACTTTTTTTCGAATTTTTCATACTTCATATTTTTACAAGTAAATTTGTTTGTTCAAGGAAGCTGAAAGCCTGTAACAAAACAATTTTGACTAAATAACTTTGACCAACTAAAGTTCAGATTTTGTACATTTGCGAACTCATTTTAAAATTGAAGCCTATAATAGTACATTGTAATACAAGGGGCTAAAATGACCCATTATAGACGAGGTAGTTTTACTACCGAACTTTAGCGAGGTAGTAAATAGGAACCGAGTTAAATTCTTTTTTTTTTCCCAAGGGCATAATATGCAATTTTACGCCCGCTCTGGTACGCTATTATGACGATCTTTTCGAGGAAGAGGAGTGAAAAATATATTATTACATATAAATTTATCTTTGAGATAATCTAACGGTTCAAATAAAAAGTAATAATAAAAGAAACAATAACATTTTTATCAAAGTAGCCCGTTAAAATGTAATAAAAATCATAAATGTAATGCTCGTCGTATTTGTGTGTACACTTACCCACTTTGCTTGTCCGACGAGTGAATGAAGTAAAACAACGACTTCACGAAAACAACACAACTTTGGCAGTACACACGTGCGTGCTTTTTAACATAAAAATATGAACTGCGCTGAATGAGTGACACCGGTCGTCGAGCGCAACTATCTGGTCGAACCGGGCGCTGTAATTGGTCGAACAAGGTGGAGCGATCTACCCGACCCCCGAGCACTCAGCGCCCCACCGCCCCCCGGCGACCAAAGTGTTGTATATGCCACCGTAAAATTGTCAACAATTTTGTTACAAAATTGTGTATATTACAATATAACGTATTTGACAATTTTACGGTGACATATACACACTTTTATTCGGAAATAATCATTTAAAAATGACATATTTGTAAGCCTGCTACTGGCATAACATAGCACTCGGTTTTTGTCAATTAAAAGATCTGTATATATGTACCTGTGTTAACAAATAAAAGTGATTTGATTGGATTTGATTTTGTCACTGGAACATACATAATTATTATTACCCGTTAGGTATGCTTTATATTAATTAAAATTAATGAAATAAGTAAAAAAAATTCTATTGCCTCTTCTATTCTATAAATTATCGTAAAACCGATATCAGTGAAATCCAATATCGGTTTTTCAATATCGGATTTTTAGTTCGATAATCCGGTTTTTCGATATTATCGAAAACCGGTATCCATGCTCTAGATGTGGCGCCAAATGATATTTGCGGCTGTTTCTTGTTTTTTTATTAGAACCTTAATTATATACGTCAAATTATCTCGCATCAATATGCAGCCCGCAGTATCTCAGTAGCCGGGGATAGTTAGGACATAAATGTTTCTTTCACCTTCTGTGTTATGGTAGCCTGGCTGCTACATCACTCTCCCCCTAGCGAAAGCGTACCGGCTCGACGACTCGCCCGTGTCTCGTAGTTTTTAAAATAGGTTTCATCTGGGTTGATGTAGATGATGGATTTTCAAGCTTCCTCGCTGGTTGTTGTGATGATGATGATGAATCCTCTGAAGTATCCTCGTTAATTATATAGGCAGGCTTTAGTCGGTCCATTGATATAATTGTAGATTTCCTTCTGGGTATTTGTAATTTAATAGTCTTGCTATTTCGCTCTAATACTTTATACGGTCCATCGTAGGTAGGTTGAAATTGTTTTTTCACTGCGTCGTTTCTTACAAAAACTTGCTTGCATGTTTTCAAATCTTGATGATTGAAGATGGAGAGAAGGGAGGGATAGAGAGAAATAGAGATAGAGCAATGGAGAGAAAGGAAGAGGGAGAGAAATAGAGTGGTAGAGAGAGAGAGAGAGAGACCAGCTAACACTTCACCAAAGATGGATACAAGAATTTAAGAAATGACATCAACCTACATTGTGTGTACTTGACCAATACTGATAATTTTAGACTTTTAATGAAATAGTTACCACTCTTATGATAATTAACTATGTCGGTTTATATTAAATATTCAAATATCTCAGTTTATATTTTGTCATTTGAAATTATTTTGTGACAAGATGTCTGGTTAACATTTATTTTAAAAACACTATAAAATTATTCCTGCTTTTTTTATCGGACTATAACAAGCCAATTCTGGACAAAGTACTGCTCTCCTTGTGCTCTCATCGTGCATTTTTTATATCTGGTAAGTTAAAGAACATGGCGTGAAATCTATCGAGAAATTATTCTCAGCTTTCTCATATTCGTCTTTTTCGTCACTCACTTGTAAAAATTGAGTTATAATAATTTTATTGCCTCATTACCAAACACATTCGAACTAAGCACTTTGGTTCGTCATTCGTATTGCGTTTACAACAGTGGATTGGAATAATTTGCCAGCATCTTTCTTTTCAACTAATTTAATGTTAATATCTTAACATTTTCACTTTCCGGATTACAAATACTGAAGCAGGACAAAATCAATGACCCATTTGTGGGTCACGGGACAGTGGACGTCTTAAAGGCAAAAGTGAATAAGTTATTATATGCTAACTTTCATTAATGATTTATCACTACTTACATTAGAATGGATAGTAGTCAAGCACTTGCTCATATAATTAATAAAAAGATGAACATCAGTATACTCTATTATTTGTAACTTAATATCTACTGCTAAAAATTAATGAATTCTGTGTATATATCTATTTGAGGCTTAAGGATTATTCAAATAATGTCGTAATCTCTATGACATATAAACTATTCAGCAAGCGCAGTGCTTCGTTATGATCTGGGATTTAAGTACTTTGAATATATTAGGAATAACACTATAGAGATACAGTAACTGAGACGAAAATTGTACCTTAACCTAATGTCAGTAAATTAATAATGCGCACAACCCTCTTAATTCATCAGTGAGAGCTACACACAACGAGCTTGTTTTAAGTAGAAATATTGTATATATTATGTAATTTGTAATAAAGTTTTAAAAATATTATATCAAATATCATACAAATTTACACATAATATAAATATATTAAGATAGAAGTAAACAAATATAAATATTATATAAACAATATTGTATATCAATGCCATTATACGAAAGCAAAATATGTGACAAAGAATTATTCTTTAGGAGAAAGCGTTAATTCACACTTGCCCAAAAAAGTTACCTTCCCCAAAATCCTCAACAAAAAATTGGGGAGGGATTTAAGACGAGGACAAAACATTACAATATTACAAGAAACTAGTTGAAACAAAGTCAAGAAAGAAAAAAAAAAAAAAACCCCCGAAAAAAAAAAAAAAGTATTATATTTATATTTATAATTAATCCTGATGTTTTTAAATGTAACTTCATAGTATATATTAGCACAATTTATATTGAATCATAACAAATATATTAGGTTAATACCTCTACAAAGTTATTTATTTACTATTTTTGTTTACGTGCTTGATGTTTATCGTGTCACTAGCACCATCTCTCTGCTTTTCAATTGGAGTGATGTTAACTGGTGACCCTCAAGGCGGTATTCTCTCACCTTATCTGTTTTAAATTTTAATCACACATATCACATTAAGCAGCCTCTTATCATCTGTTTGCCGATGATTTATAACTATATCTAAAAACGCAACTATCCAATATTAATAATAATTCAATAGCATTACTAAATGAAGGTTTACATTATATCCTTGAGTGGTTCACTGTATTTGGAATTAACGTGAATTCTTTTAAATGTCAAGCGAATATTTATGGTAGGTCTAGATAGTTATCCAAATTCAATGACATTTAGAAGACTTTTTTTGTATAACCGGCATTTACCCACGTCTCATCCTAATAATACATAGTAGTTCCGTTATGTCTAGCTGCCTTTACTTTGTGTAAATATTTTCGTCACCATAAAACTACATCTGTCTTTTCTCATACAATACTGTTTCTACCTCTTTTATATATATATAAAAAAAAAACAATTATTTTAGTGCTTTGTACAATGCCGATCTTGAAATAGACAAGAAATCAGGATCTTTTTTTATGATGTGAGGGATTTTACATAATACAAGCATTTCATTTTGAAAATACATTTCGTGGACTAGATTTCGCTCTTCGAAATCTAGTGCACGAATTGTATTTTCAAACACTTGATTTCGAAGAGCGCTTTTCGTAAAAATTATCAC